GACACCAGAATGACATCTGGCATCTGTCTGCCTCTGGAATTCTGAGAGACCTGGAACAAATTCCTCTGTCCAATGAGAACACAGGTATTTCTACCAGGTATAGGAGCTTATAAGACAGAGAGAGGAAAGCCAAGTCTAAGGACACAGCATTCCTGTGATCCACAAACATACTAATAATAACAGTTCATACTCACAGCATTTTGATTACAGTGCAGGGTGCTGCTCTGAGTATTAACCATATTAGCTCATTGACACCCCCTGCAGTCCCACAGGAAGGTGTCATTGTGACCCCCACTTTATAGACTCAGACACAGGATGATTTCAGACCACCTAGGGACAGTTGGGCTTAGGTCAAGCTCCAGGGACCCTGTACACATACACACACACACACCTTTCCTGACAGTTGGACTTAGGTCAAGCTCCAGGGACCCTGTACACACACACACACACACACACACACACACACACACACACACACACACACCTTCCCTCTTTTCCCTTGAAATACTTCTAACCCCAAAACAAAATAGCCGTAAAGAAAATTTTAAAAAACCTAGATACACACATACACACACACACACACACACGCACACAAACACACATCTTCCCTCTTTTCCCTTGAAATACTTCTAACCCCCAAACAAAACAGCCATTAAAAAAAAATAGAAAAAGCCTAGATACACACACACACACACACACACACACACACACACACACACTGTATCACTCCGGATGATGCTGAGGAACTGGGTCATGGTCAGTCCAAGAACTGGTTTGTCCAGCAGGGGAGGATCACACACACACACACACCTTTCCTGACAGTGCAGTGCATCCCAGATGTGTTCAGGTTCCCTGTCCCTTTTTGAGTGACATTCCAGCTGACCATGTCTGCATAATCTCCATTTCCAGGGTGTTATTGTCTGGATGTTTGTGTCCTTCCAAAATTCATGTTAATCTCCTCCCCCAAGGTGATGGTGTTAGGAGGTAGAGCCTTTGGGGTGATGAGGTCACAGGGCAGAGCCCTCATGAATGAGATCAGTGCCCTTATTATTAGTATCCTTGTAAAGGAGGCCTGAGAGAAGCCCCTCGCCCCTTCTACCATGTGAGGACACAGTGAGAGACCCCATCTGTGAGCCAGAATGCAGGCTCAGCACCACTAGAGTTGACTTTCCTCTCCAGAGGGACCTAGGATTTGGTTATCTTCAAAGTCTCTTGCACATGAGATATACTTTTGTTTATTTACATTTAACACACATCTATTGAGCACCTACTATGTGCCAGACATTCTACTTGATGCTGGGGACAAAGAGACCAGGCTGTCCTTGGAGTGCAGTTACCCTGCAAGTTGACTTGTACATGACTTGGACCTGACAACTGCCCCCCTCAAGTGATGGCCATCTGACTGTGGGGCACTTACAGTTCCCTTCAGAAATTACTCAGAAACTATTAAAAGCCACTAAAGCCATACTTATGAGTAGTACTGGGGGTGCCAAAAAATGCATACACATTTTAAGTATGCTGTTCATTCAATAGATTGCCTTAATGAATTGAATGCTAGTGCCACCATGCGACAAGCAGGACAGTCAAAGAAAATGCCAGAAACATGGTTGAGTGAACATCATACTATAATTTAACTCAACTTCAAAAAGTAATGCATAGATAACCTATCTTAAAATGTATATACGTTTTTTGGCATGCCCTGTATTTTGGGACTCATCGGAGGCAACCATTATTCATACAAAATTTGCATATAGTGCAGCCAAGATAATTCAGTGCTGACCTGGGGCTGGATGTTGGGAAGAGTCTGTTCTCTTGGGCAGGGAGTAGATCTGCAGGGGTTCTGTTACCCTCACCCTTGGCTGGAGCCTGAATCCTGAGACTCGTAAGTCTCAGCAGTCAGAGGAAAGGTCCAGCTCCTGAATGTCCAGCTTTAGTCTCTTTTATTTGAGCATCCTTTCCTCAGCACCTTCTCGTCTTGGCTCCAAGCAGTAATCACTGCAGTGAGAGTTCTAAAATCAATAATGTCCTTTTTCTACAAATATGGCTTGTCTTGGAACCTCCCCTGGCTCAGCTTCTCTGTGTTGGTCCAAGAATTCAGAAGCTTGCCTCCTCTCCCAGCAGTTCCCTGAACCCCAAGAAAGGGCACACGTGTCTTCTTACACAAAGGGCTGAAGCAAAGGCTGTGGGGGAGAAGATTGGGGTTTTCGCCCTGCCTAAGAAGGAGCAGAAGCCCGAAGGTAGGAAAGTAGATGCTTTCTTCAGAAGTTCTCATCTGCAGTCCTTAAACAATCAGGACAATTATAGTCCTCCAGTTTCCTCCCAAGCTCCCTGCTCCAGAGCCTAACTCCATGTAACCTACATGACTGGTGTCACACCATTCAGGAAAGGCTGGTTTCATGAGCGTCCTCACTTCTGCAAATCGGTAGCTTAATAAAGACCTCCAAAACATTTAACCTTAGCAGAAAATATTCTCCAAGTGAATCATCACAGCCCCTGTGCAGCGTCATCCATGATTTCCTTTGACCTCTGCGGGACAGGACCCTTTATAACTCCAAGGCTAGAAGGGGTGCTACCATCTTTCATGTCCAGAAACCTAGTCTGTGGATTGGCCAAGGGATGGGACTTGACAGAAGGTAGGCCAATCAGAGGCCTTCTCCAAGTGCTTCCCCTGGGATGCGCAGCCTCCCTGAAGAAACTGTGGGAACCTCATTTCCTGTTGTGGAGAAAGACTATCTCAGCCAAAAAAGTCAGTGGGAACAGAGAAAGACAAAAGATGATTGAGCCTAGGGTTCCTTGAGCCCTGGGGCCATCTGGCCTTCTGTAAGCCTTCCAACAAATTCCTCTCACTTGCAAGGATGTTCATGCATAATTCTTCTTTCTTGTCTTATGGAGGAGTCTTCTCCAACCCCTTAGAAGTCCCCCCGCCCTCAGCTGATTCTCTTCCAAATAGCAGGCAGGCATTAGACCAGAGCTGTTTTGCCTTTCTGAGGTTCTACAACCTGGCCAGCAGCTGGGCCCACGGTCACCAGAGGCATAACCTCTTTCCAAAGCAGGCTTTCTAAATGTGGCAGAGATTGGTATACAGGTCTTTGTGATTAAGGCAATTAGGTATATAAATGAGAAAACACATGTCTTTGTCAGTTTAAGTGAAGACACATTACTGACAATGGCTAGAGTTTTGCCAAGGGAGTCTGCAGGGATGGGACAGTCAGCTGAAGTTATGATCACCTGGGTGCTAACCCTTCTAAAGGTGACAGCTGAGTCACAGGGAGATGAGAAAGAAAAAGGTGAAAATACTGTCCTTAGCTGCAAAGATTCTGTGAAGACAAAGGGAGGCATCATAGAGCTCACATGGGTCTAAATATGTGCAGAACACACTGACACAAACACTCGTGTGCACGTGACTAGTTATAAATCTCCTTGGACTAGACTAGTCTGAAATTTGAAGGCCAACAAGAGAGGTTTCTGGCAGTCACAGGCCTTGGTCTGGAGGGGATGTGCTAATCTTCACTAGATTCACTATGCCACTGAGTTACTGAGCATATCATCAGCTCTCCTTTCTTCACCTTGGACTGTTTCTTCCTGCTGAAGACCAGAGACCAATGTCTCTGTTCACCAATGAGGACACGGAGGTCCAAATAAAGGAACTGATTCAGCAGAAACCCACAGCTTGTCAGTCATGTTGCCCACAGGGACAGATGTGGTACTACTGACCAGTGTGAGCTGTAGCTACAGTCCAGCATGTGCATTATGAGCCCCATGGGGCTGCCACAAACCTCAAATGATGGGGAGCTGTGGAGTGCCCAATTGATCATAAAAGAATTGACTCAAATACCTAGCTGTTCCCCACAGAACCTTCTAGGCCTGTTTCAAGGAATCCACTTCAGAAACTGTAAAAACTATTCTCATGAATAAGCCCAGCTCTCTAAAAGTGCCAATCACATGCAGCTTGACTGTCGGAAATCCTGTAACCCTTGCCTGAGATGAGTCATTGTCAATCTCAGACACAGAGCAGCAGCCTCAATTTCCAACCCAGCACAGGGCTTCAAATAGAGATTTCTGACACAAAAGTGTTTATCCTACCCTGCCCTCCCACAGACTGGGCTCTGATTGCCCTCGTTGCAGGGGAAGGAACCAGGCTGGACAGCTGGCTTGTCGCAAGTGGCCCTTGGCTGCCGAGCTCCATCAAAGAACAGGAGCAACATCAAATCGATAGGCAGACTTGGCACTCGTAAGAAAATGAGGCAGAGATGACTTTCAGTTCTGCTGAAAACCTCATCTGGTCTTCTGTAAAAATGTCTCTTTTGTCAATACGCCACCAAGGTGATGCCCTCAGCATGTTCTCAGGGTGGAGGCTGACATGTCCCCACTTGCCTACTGAGTGGCATGACCCAAACTCTGATAATGGGAACTGCTCAAGTCCTGAGGCCTGGTCATTTCCTGGTCTGAGAAACATTCTTCACTTTGAGATGAATGTGAAATAGTAACCTTAATTTTTTACAGCCATTATCAATTACTGAGCTGGGCCAATAGGAAACTTTAAAAAACCTTTCTTCCCTGCAAATGTTACATTTTTCTTTGACATAAGTCAAGGTACATTTCTCATGTAGAAGGCATCTCTGATAGTCATACCCAGTTGTCCTTTCTTTAAGTCATAGATGTGTGACAGCAGCTGCTCTGGAGGGGAGGCTGGAGGAGGGCACAGGCCTGCTATGGAGGGGGACATGCACAGCGCATATCCACCTTCACAGGGGAAAGAATGGGACCTATGGTAAGGTCTGGAAGGACTCCCGGTGCACTGCCTACACTCTAACTCATACATACATTAATAACTGCCAAGCTGTCAGTCACCCAATACTGAAAAATAGTGGAGTCCGAATTTGCTGTGCCTACAAATGTGATTCTCTCAGTGTGCTGACACACGCATGTGCACATGTACACAGACACACAAAGAGACCTTTAAGAATTGTAACATTCATTCAAAAATGCAAGAATTAAAATTACCATTTGATGATACTTTTGTTTAATTGAAATAAGAACAAAACCTGGTCACATCAGAGTTAAAACTACTCTTCTCTCTCTTGGCTAACCAAGTCTTAATTTCATGTGATTTCCACAGTTCTCTGAGGCCAAGAAGGCTCTGTAACAGGGGCCTGGCTGTGTCAGTAGCTGGACGGCACCTCACTGGATGTCATCATCATCAAAGAGATCTTCAAAATCTGGGAAGATAGCAAAACCATACATTAATGGAGCACACAAAGGTGAGCAACTGAGGAATCACTTCAAAATGATTATGTGGGAATTCAAAATATAGAGAAGACAATAAATGATCTAATTAAATGACTTTTCCCATGACAGACTGTTTTATCCATCCACAGCTCATAGTTACAGTCCAAGGTGAAAGCGTTGTCCAGAGTGTATTTTTAATCTTATTTTTATTTAGAAGACACTCTTCAGAAAATGCATGCTGGGGAGTTCTAGACCACACAGGCAACCACCCCACAACCACAGCTGAGCACCTGGGACACACCCATGCCACATCTGCACCTGCCAGCACACTGTGGCCAATGCATGCTCTTGCTGACATGGATAGGAAGATAAGGCTGGAAGACATATGCTGGGTGCTCGCAGGGCAGAGGTAAGCCCACCCTGCTGCCACCATGAGAATGAGAATGCCAGGGTGTGCTGGAGGAAGATGGCAGAAAGTCTTGGTCATGTGAGAACTACTCCATGTAAGGGGGTCTGCATGACAATCAAACTTGAGAAACACAGGCCAAGCCCCATTTCTGATGGAAAAAACAAAGAGAGCAAAATCACAATGCACTGCTTTTGGTCATCAAAGCCATGGCCATTTCATCCTTCTGTTTATTTTTATATATTTTCCAAATTTCCCACCACAAACAAATATTACTTTCACAATGGGAAAAGAAAACACTTGTATTACTGTGTGGTATGAATCATGAACTAGAAAAAGTTTAACTCCTCGATGGTTAGACAGCAAAGAGACTGCTCATACCAATGCACCCGGCCTTTCTGGGGAAGGGCCAAGTCCCCGATGCACCTCTGGCCTATGCAGAGGGTCCCAGCTCCGCCAAGTCAAACTCACAAGCCCCATGTCCTCACTGCCTCCTGACCACTACTTGTGATTCTGCTACTCTGAGCACTCTGTCCCAGTCCCCGCTGGCTGCCTGAGACTCCTTCACACCCTTCAAGCCTCTGCTCTGCTGTCATCTCTGGAGCAACTTCCCTGTGATGTGCTCAAAGAAACAATTCCGTCCACCTTTTGCCAGGGCTCTCATTCAAAGTGGTCCCTGCTTGCTGACTTGTCTGGACCCTCCACCACTTTACAAACCAGTGAGGAGAGTGAGTCCTATCTAGGTTAGAACCCTACTGCCCAGGGGATACCAGTCCACCAAAACCTGTTTGATTGATAAACAAGACTTGGCAGAAGCACTATCCAAAGTCTACACAAGTCTCTCAGGTCATGCCAGGGTTCCCACAGAGACACTTTCTCACCAGAAGTAAAGGCTTTGGAAATCATATGAACTCAACACCAGAACACAGTGATCGCCCCTAAACCAACGGGCTGGCAGAAGATGAAAGGGACTTTGAAGGGGAGCATCTAAATGTGTGCATCAATCATGCCAGCACCAGCAATTGCACAATCCTGCCCACATGAGGAATCTTCTGTCACCCTGTGTGAGCTGGCATTTTCATAGAGGTGGCTCTGGACAGCCTTTGCATCTCTGCACAATTTGTTCCCTCTGACAGCAATGCCCTTCCCCCTACCCTCTGGCATAAAAAATTTAGAGAAACATTATTCAGCTCTCAAGGCTTGGCTCAAATGTCACTTCCTCTAGTTCTGACATTAGTTAGTAGCAGCCAGGATGTTGCCTCAGGGGAGTGGCCAGGCACCCCAGGAAAGCCTGCACCCCAATCTACCATCCTGACTGCTTTCCTTAGGCAATGACTGGCTGACAATAAGCCAGATAAAGCATCATGGACTCAGGATTTCAGGGTATCTTTGGTAAGTTAGAAACTGATGTGACAACATTGCATCCTAGCTGCTACTAACTAGTGACAAACGTTCTACATAGGGGCAAGCACCATGGATTAAAGTTGGATGAAAAAGGGAGAAAAATGCCACTTAACTCTCCTGAGTAAGGAACCTCTCCTCTCTGTTTCTACTGATCGTTTGAACCGTCCATAGGGCTAACATAATCTATAGGAACAAAGTGTTAAGAAATGAGAAGAGAACAAAAGAAACAGCCCCTCTGGCATGTCTGAATATCTCATATAAAGTTAGCTTTCCACTGTTTATTTGGTAACACTTCACCCATGTTCTTGGTAATTAGCATTGAGGTACTTAAGTGTGAGAGGGAAACGTATCCTGTGTCCTAATTTCAGAGACAGGGAAGGGCTAGAGCTAGGGCTAGGTTTGTAGCTGTCACTCTGTAAAGGCAGCCAAGGGCACAAGAATCCTGGCAGGCAGACAGGGGTGGGCTGGGAAAGGAAACTGGCCATCAGGAGAGAGTAGAGACAGGAGACCCAGACTCCCACGCCCCCATGTAAGTATCCCACACTTGCATCTGTGGCGCTAGGCCAGACCCCGCTACAGTCCCAGCTGTCCGTAGGCGTGTGTTAACGCTAATGCCAGAGCTCAAACACAACTACTGGATGCAAGAATGGGAGCAATTTCATGCTACTTTTCTCCTGAAAAACAGGGCTGGCTGCCAGTGCCCACAGCCAGTGTTGTTACTCCATAGACTGCATGCATCCTGACAGTGGCACGGGCTTTGGGCTTTACTGTCCTATGATCCAAATTACTCATGTCACCAAGTTGCTCCATTGCTTTAACCTGCAGAAGAACATTCAGATTAAATCTGGCACCCCAATTCCGGCATCCTTACCATTAAAAAAGTCTGCATGAACTGCCTTTTCATTGGCTGCCAAGTCCATCAAAAGCCCGGTGCTGCCTCCCGCCTGGGGAATAAAAAAGCAAGGTTATGGCAAATGTGTTTTCCAAAAGAACAGATGATAAGTACATTAAGTGTCCATGCTCCTTCCATGGAACAGGAAGGTGGGTGATGAGGAAAGAGTTCAAGTTGGCATCAAAATTTTGGAGTTCCAGACAAAGGAAGTGTGTATGTACAGGGGGGTGAGGTGGGAGAAAAATTCAAAGGAATTATTTTTAAGGTCTCTCAAGGTCTTTTGCTCATTGACACCTCCTGGCCTTTTAGAAAGAAACCTACTGCTGCCCTAAGCACCACTACTTCTCTGCAAAGCTCAAGAGACTTCCAATGCCCTACTGGACATCACAGAGGTTGTACAGATGCAAAATGGAGCCCGATCCTTTCTCTGCCTTGTATGCCTCTCTGATTTCTTCAGAGAACTAGGCCATTCCCCTGGGAAACTGACCTGCTTTGGCCCCGAGGTTCTGGTGGGGCTGCCATTGTGGAACTTTCCACTGCCACAACTCTACAGTGGTAGTAAAACCATGCCACAACCAAAGCTGGGCAATCTGACGCACTCAGAATTTTGAATCTTATATAGAATCACTGGGTGACAGAGTCCTCTGATGGCAGCACCCTGGACAGCTGACACAGGTCCTGCTGCTGCAGAACATTCACAGGGCTGCCTGCTCAACCCCTCCCTGACTCTCAAGCAGTTGTACTGCCTGTGTTCCCTTTCATGGCAGCTCTCAGAAGCCCGAGAGAAAAGCCTAGGAGTCTCAGACTCCTCCCTTCTCTTCTCAGCCTCCCTCCCTGTTCCCATCACCACAGAAAACCATGCAGATTCTACCACTTAAATGAGTTGAGTTAATCTCTACTTCCCCTGCCCCATTCAGACTCTCTTCAAGTCTCCTGTTCTCCCTGCTAACATCTTCTCTCTCACCTCCAAACCCTCCAAAGGGATCATCCTACACAGCAATTCGGAGCCTGCCACTCCCCATTGTAAAGTCTTCAGTGGTTCCACACCGCCTAGGGCAGTGACTTTAAAACAGGACTGGCTGGGCGCAGTGACTCAGCCTGTAATCCCAGCACTTTGGGAGGTCGAGGAGAGAAGACTGCCTGAGCCCACAGGTTTGAGACCAGCCTGGGCAACTTGGTGAGAACCTGTCTCCACAATAAATCTCACACACACACACACACACACACACACACACACAAATGCTGAGCATGGTGGCATGCATCTGTAGTTCCAGCTACTTGGAAGGCTGAGGCAGAAGAATAGCCTAAGCCCAGCAGATCGAAGTTGCAGTGGCCGTGAGCATGCCACTGCACTCCAGCCTGGGAGACATGAGTGAGACTCCAACACACAAAAAAAGAAAAAAAACACAAAAAACGTCAGGGCTGAGAGCCTTAAATTTAGTGGAAATACTTCAGGAATGGGGGCATGGAACACATCCACTTTAGCCTGACTTTAGATCCCTTCATGATCTGGTCCCTGCCTGTTCCCTCCCCTTGCTCTGACATCATGAGATCCCCATGTTAAACTACACGACATTCCCTTCCCTTAGTGAACCAGTGGGCGTCATCCCTCCAGGACTCTGCTCCTGCCAGACATTATTCCTTCACCCCATCTGTTTGGCAAACCAACACTTCCTTCAGCATTTGGCTGCAGAGACAGCTCTCTCCTGGTGAGGCTTTACTAAGCCACCCCAAATTCCTGAGGGTACTTTTGCCAGCACACCTCTAGCTTTCTATTACACCTGGTGTTTGCAATTAGCCTCTCTGCTATATGGTAACCTCCATGAGAACAGAGGCTACATCCAACCATCTCTGTACCAGCTAAGCTTTGAGAAAGAGAACATGAGGCTCTGACACCCAGGAACTGGACTGACATAGGGGCAGGCCAGAGTGTTATCATGGTAAACATAAGCCATCTCATGGAATACCTACATCAGACAAGGTCACTCTATGACTATGATGAAATGAGACCAAATAACCAAGACCAATTCATAATCCTGTATAATTATAGAGAAGAATGAGGTCACTGTACAAAGCACATAAGTTCTTTGCACAATGCCCTTTTCCCTACACCCTCTTGAATGAAGAATTTAGAGACGTTCTATTCAGCTCTCAAGGCTGGGCACACACACTCCCTTGCGTCCCTTCTCCTCTCTAATAGGAATGATGGCTGACAGCTGCTTCTTTACCAAGTACACATTTTTAGTCTCGCTCTAGTCTTCCCTCAATCTAAATAAGATTTATTAAGAGGCCCAATCAGAGAATTACCCTCGCTTCCTCCAAATCGCCTAACACAAACTCAAATCTTATACTAAATTATTCCCAACACCCGTTTATCAAGACGCCCCGTAGTTCCCCATGGTGCGCTACCTCCATCGACGGAGTGATTTATGCAACTTTCTTTGACCGCAGGTGTGTCCCTGGTGGTTTGAGGGCGGAAGGGCACATGACAGCCTCGTGCAACGTCTGGCACTCAACAGACACTCAGATCAGTCACGCTGGATTCATACTCCCTGGGCGGAGGGAGGGCGCGGGAGGTGGCTGGGGGCGGGGGGAGTGGAGGCTGCCTCGACCTAGGCGGCAAGGGCCTTGGCCCCTCCCCTACCATTCCATGGAAACCGGGCCGCGTGTACACATGCCCTAGGAAGTCTACCGTTACCTTTCACAGGTCCTCAGAGGAGGACGAATTCGCTTTCCGTGGGGCAGGAAGGGAGGGGAGCCGTGTCCTCTCCGCCCGGCCCGGCC